CACCCGTCTCAGGCTCCCAAAGTGCTGAGGTTACAGGCTGAGCCACTGAGTCCAGCTCAGAATGTGTATTTCTAACAAGTTTCAGGGTAGTGCTGACGCTGCTGGCCAAAAAACCAGACTTGGGGAATCACTGTCCTAGGGGCTGACAAAGTAACTTAGAAAAATGTTCAGCTTTTTTCAGAAATCTCTACAGAAATTTCTACCAAACAAAAGTCTATACAGTTTTCTTATCAAAAAGCATCTCCTCCATGCTGGCTTATCTCTGCCTAATGCTGGTCAAATGCCTCACTTGGGCTTGTATCTTTTCTGGGTCACTGTCAGTCTCTGAGAAAGGGTAAGGGGTGACTCTTGAGGGAAGCATGCGGCATCCGCAGAGAACGGTTATTCCCCGTGATGTCCAAACAAACCAGCCGCTTCTGTCTTTTCTTGAGGCTGTGTGAGCTTCCTTAGACCCCCAAGGTTCAGCTGGGACTTGGGGCTCTGAGGGGAACTGGATCATCACAGCCAGTGGTGAGATGATAAAGCCGTTCTGGGCGGCACCACGACCCCACATCTTCTTTCTCTTCTAGGGGTATATCTCTTGCATGTATCAGCAAATGTGATCTACCTTTGGTTTATCTGTAGGACTTATAAAATAAATTAGTATGAAAGGAATATACTGCCACGATTTTGGATTTGGTGAGATCAAGTGGTACACTGGGGCTAACTCTCACTGGCTCACAAGAACTGATTTTGAGCATTTCAGTGACATCATATTGGTAGCTTGAAGTTGGCTGTTGTGGGAGTGTTTACAACACAGAAATTGGCACATACTGCAAATTGGGAATTTTTTTCTGGAGAGCAAATTTATCAGCACACTTCTGGTTGTGTATTTATTTTTTCACATTGCTTAATAATAATCCACAATTTTACTCCATTGGTTCAACATGCCTTTTGGTTCAACGTACATTTTGCTTCATTGGTCCAACACATCTTTGCTTGGCCATACTATGTTTTCATGACCTGCTTATGTAATAAACACAGATGAATGGAGTACCTACCCTGCAACCAGGCTCTGGGGATATGGAGATGAATGAGGAAAAAGCAACATGACAAACTTCCTGACCACAGGGGCTCCCAGACCAGTGGTGGGGAAGATACAGTCACAGTTTCCAAGGGAAGAGACAACCATAGTTTCCAGTGATAGTTTCCATGGTTTCCATAATCTGTCTATGATAGATACCAGCCACAAGGTGTTTCAGAATCAAGATATTTCACATTCATGGGTTTGTCATGAGCAAAATAAAGCAGAGTTTTCAGTATTTTCATATATCCCACCATGAATATCTTTGAACGATACCAAAGACCTATTTTTACTTAGGTTGAAACAGAATTCTACATTTTCCTCTCTTCTTAGAGCCCTGATTATCAAGGATCTTGAAACTCTCTCAACCCACCTTCTGGAGTCTCCCTCAACCATCTCCCACCGTGGCAGTGTGAGCATCTCGAACTACTCCCCAGTGGACGGATTGTCGAAGAACCGGGAGCAGCAGATGAGGCTGGCAGAGGCAAGTCTGAGGCTCATGGGCACCTCTGCATGGGCCTTGTCCCCGTCCCTGCAAGGGAGATGCAAACTCATGATTGCACTAGTTTTCACCCCATCCACGGAATAGGATGGGACTGGTTCCCACACTTGTGCCAACACTGTGTGCTATTATCCAATGCAAACAAAAATCTGATAAAGAGAAAACAGCATCTTGTTCTTTTCGTTTGTATTTCTTCTTCATAAATGAGTATACATTCATATATAGGAAAAATTCTATTTAGTTTGAACAGAGTGCCTCTTCTATTTATCAACATCTCAGCAGCTGGATACCTAGAATAATATGTTAATTAATATGCTCGACCTCTCCTCTTAAGAGACTTCATGGCTTCTTTGGCCTATGATTGTTTGGGGCACTATTTCCTAACACCTAGCAGATGTGACAGTACTAGGCTGTATACACAGGAGTTATCTTAAATCCCTGCATTCACTGCAATGTGTGATGTGTGCTGTTCCCACCCTGTGTACAATTCCCTGGATGTTTCTGCATTCTTTTGCAGTAGGAACCATTACATAGAAAAAGTAAGCTGTGGGTTAGGTACACTTTCCAGGTGCCAGCCTATGATTCCACACCTTTCTATTCTGCTAGTTGAAATGCACTCGTACGTGCCAACACTATGTTTGAAAATAGCATCCCAAGAAAAAGTTCCTCATCTCTGTCTGCAGTGGACTCTATGCCTCTGGGGATTGGTATGTCTAAGGGGAGAATCCATGATGAGAACATGTACACACAGGTGAATGACAGGGGCTATAGGCTTCCAACTCTCACACTCTGTCTTCACCACTTCTTGTTCCTGAACTTGGCTTATATTTGGTCACCAGGGGCCACAGGGACTCTTTTTAAAGGGTTGGGATCTTAGCATCTTCACCCCACATTGGCCTCCTTTGAGAAAAATACAAATCAGTGGAACCAAGTGACCTTTTAAAGCATACAGCATCCGTGTCATTATGCAAAACAGCACACTCAGTAGAAGCCCCAACCAGGAGCGTGAGATCAAGCTTCCGCAGAAAGGAGCGTCACCCAGACCCGCAACGCTTCAGCAGTGATGTTTAAAGTAACAAGCATCGTGTGTTTTGATGATAAGAAATAATGGCGTGTCCCATGGAATGAATACTGATGGGGGGGTAAAGTCAAAAGACGGATGTTGCTCAGCAAATCAAAGGAAATGACTTGAAAAGTCCAGCTCTCTGGTTTATAGAGGCTTGTTGCTCTGTGATGAGGCAGAGGAGGCTAACAAAAGGGTGTTTGAAGATGTAATGTATGCAGATGGCACCCAGAGGCCTCTGAAGGATGGAATAGTCTACTCCGGCAATGTCTCCTGATGAAGTGTCTGCAAAAGGTCATTTATCGCTGAGCTCCGACTCTTAGTTCAGAGCAGACCACCACTAGTTACTTTCTTGGGAAGCCCAATCTAGACAGAATTATCCAATTCTGTTTTTCTTCTTGATAAAACTCCAATAACCTGTTTTCATACGCATATCTGGTCCCTATAGAGGTGTAGGCTCAGCTCTTGTTCAATGCTGAGGGCAAATAATAATTTTCTCAAACATCTGGTTATCACCACTGGGTGGTCTTGTTTTGCTGTAGGTTTTTCTAAGTTCCAGGAACCTATTTATCTACTGCCACACATTTTGTGAGAAAACTTCTGGGCTCTCGGCAGTTGGCTCTCTTGGGTCCAAGAGCTTCCCAAATGTGGAATGCACAGGATAACCATTTTAGAGACAGAGCTTTCCCTGGGTACCTTCTGACTTAGCCCTTGGAGAAACCCTGTTCTATTATGTTGGTAATGCCACATTCAAAGAGAACAATATACAATGTTGGATTTTTGTTTTGTATCTTAATTTCGACTCCCTGCCCAGTTTCTCGGTTGTTTAATTCTTCTTCGTTCTAGCAACGACACAGTGTTCTCCTTGGGATGGGTGATGTGGTGGTGGTCAAGGTGAAGAGAGCAATAATAGATTCTGGAGCTGAAGGACACTGATACTGAGAACAGGCTTTTAACTTTATAATGGGATTGGTCTTAGAAAAATGGCTTCACTCCTCTGGACCTCGATGACTTACTTACGTCTTTTGTAAAATTAAGAGAAGAATACCCACTGACCAGGATCGTAGTTAGGATTAAACAATATCATTGATCAATCCCTCGACACATAGGGTGGGTGCTCAAACTGACTTTAGCGTCAAGCAAGACACGGAGAGAGTTCACAGAGGCTCTCCTCGCTCAACATCCTTCAGCTTTCACAGTCAAGTTCTTATTTGGAATTCAAAAATATTGTTGTTTGTTTCTGGCTTCTTCAGCTCACCCTTCTTGGTCCAGATAAACCGTGGTTTTCAGAGTCTTTCTCATCCTGATGAACTTCTCAAACATCTTGTTTATTTTCATATTATTCATTTAATTTTTTTTTTTTTTTTTAGATACAGAGTCTTACTCTGTTGCCCAGTCTGGAGGGCAGTGGTGTGATCATAGCTCACTGTAGCCTTGAACTCCTGAGCTCCAGCGATCCTCCTGCCTCAATAGCTGGGACTATAGGCACACACCACCACACCTGGCTAATTTTTGTATATTTTGTAGAGATGGGGGGGGGGTCTTCTATGTTGCCCAGGCTGGTCTGGAACTCCTGACCTCAGGTAATCCTCCTGCCTTGGTCTCTCAGAGTGCTGGCATTACAGGCATGAGGCACCGTGCCTCTCCTCACACGCTTTTTAAAAAACATCATGTCTACCCAAGCTACTAGACACAAATGGAAAATGTTTGTTTTCTGGTGGCAGAGACTGTTTCACGCTTACCCAGCCGTATGCTAAACGTGCAGCGCAGTGCCTGGTGTGTAGCCAGGAGATATGTGGTGAATGAATGGATTTACCTAAGTTTTATTGCTTTTCAAAGTGAGTCTAAAAGGCAGACAGCTAAACAGAGAAGAAATGCAGAACTCCTTGATAAGCAAACAACATAGCATCCACTGACACTAAGAATCCATTTCTTCCCTGGGGTGGGAGGGCTGGCTGAGTCTTAACCCAAGTGAACACCACTGTTGTTTCAGGGCTTCCTCCCGTTACGCCATTGACCATCAGGAATGTTCACGCCTCCAGCATGGTCACTTCCATCAAGAAGCCAACTCCCATCAAGGCACACACGTCTGATGGCCAGAAGAACCTTTTTTTTTTGAAAAACAATAAAAAACTTCCGACTTCCCCTCCACCAGCCAACCTGGCATCAAAGAGCAAAGAGGCACCGGAGACTCCTTTAACGAGGTGGGAAACGTTTAATGGTCAACTCAGTAGCTGAGTAACAGGATGATGGCACAACAACAGGCAGACCATCAAGGCTGGAGGTCAGAGCGTCTGAGCCAACGCCCACCCCGATGGGGTATAAGAGGGCTGGAAGGGAGGAGGGCCTCAGACTCAGTGGCTCATCCTTCCCAGCTGCCTTGGACTCCCATCAGCCCCAGCCTGACAGCATGACTTCCTCCTGCAGCTGCTCATCCTGCCCCCTGGTTTGCACCATGGCTCCCGGAGCGAGAAACACTCCCGTGTGCTCCGTGGAGGTTGGGTGCCATCCCGGCGCAGAGGCCTATGCCGCCTCTCCATGCCTCGTGGCCAATGTGGCGCAGGCCAACCGGGTCCGCGTGGGCTCCACCCCTCTGGGCCGCCCCAGCCTCTGCCTGCCCTTCAGCTGCCGCACTGCTTGTCCCTTGCCAGGGACCTGCCACATTCCCGCTAACATCGGGAGCTGCGGGACCTACGGCGAAGGCACCCTGAACGGCCACGAGAAGGAGACCATGCGGTTCCTGAATGACCGCCTGGCCAACTACCTGGAGAAGGTGCGCCAGCTGGAGCGGGACAACGCGGAGCTGGAGACCAAACTCCGCGAGTGGAGCAAATGCCACGAGTCCAGTGTGTGCCCGGACTATCAATCCTACTTCCGCACCATCGAGGAGCTGCAGCAGAAGGTGAGGCTGGGGCGGCCTGGGGTGTGCTGGGTCTGAGAAGGCAGGAGAGCGAGCCAGAAAAATCCCCGTGAGGCCCAAAGAGTTTTGGGTTTTTGGATTCTCCTGAGATGGGCCCAGAGCGCGATGCTTTGCGTGCGAACGTTCTTCTTGGTTCTCTTCAGATCCTGTGCAGCAAGGCTGAGAACGCAAGGCTGATTGTGCAAATGGACAATGCCAAGCTGGCCGCTGATGACTTCAGGATCAAGTGAGTGAGGCCAGGAGGCCCAGGGTGACTCCTTCCTCCACCCTACGTCCCAGTGCCCAAATACTTGTAGAGTGAATTACTGTCCTTTTCCTTCCTTGATGGATTTCCCAAATTAAAACTTTTGTTATAATCAGAACTAATAGAAAGTGGAAGGGAAAATACATCACGAAGTCAAGCATGTATGCTAATCTTTATTTCCCCAACATGGAAGATCAGGGAGCCTGAGTTCAATTTCATTAACCTGGAGCAAAATGAGGTGATTGCAAGGACGAATTGAGCCAAGATGGCCATTGAGTTTCAAGTATGAGTCAGGAGGAGTCAGTCACGAAGTCATTGTCCAGATTTAACTAGGGAGCCCTCAGGTACCAGGTGTGCCCACTAGACTCAAAAAAAGTAACACAAACAGCTGAAAGCAGGAATAAGGAACAGGACATACACATTTAGGCACTGGCTACTGCCAGTCCTGGTTAACTGGCAGCTCCTGCAGTGGCCTGAATGCTGCTGAGCTGGGTCCTGAGACCTATGATCTCAGTTAAGTTAGCCAATCTTCCTGCACCTCAGTGGCCTCACTGTACGATGGTGACGTGTGTATTGTACAATACACAGCTGAGAATGCTTTTCTAGACCCTGAGCTCTTTGAGGAGAGGGACTGTGTCTAGTTTGCCTTTGAGGCCAGAGGGATCAGCAGAGTGAGCAAGCGGGACTCCAAGGTGGTGAGGGAGGTGGGATGGGGCAGTCGAGAGGGCTCCCGTAGGCCACCCCACTGACCCACCCCTCCCGTGATGGAAGGCACGAAAGTGAGCGCGCACTACGCCAGCTGGTAGAGGCAGACATGTGTGGGACGCAGAAGCTCCTGGACGACATGAGCCTGGCCAAGGCCGACCTGGAGGCCCAGCAAGAGTCCCTGAAGGAGGAGCAGCTCTGCCTTAAGAGCAACCATGAGCAGGTGTGGCCCTGGGCACTGGGACGGGGAGGGTGCTGGGCACACAGGAAGTGCCCCATCCCAGGTTCTTGGCTGGTGTTAGATGAGGCTGACGTGGGGCTGGGGTTCAGGCGGCCCCAGTGGAATGTGCAGACTTGCTGTGGGTGCCAGTAGGGTCTCCAGATGGGCCCCTCCCCTTGCACCTGGCAGGATTGTCATACCAGCTTGTGTGTGGGGTCCCGTCCTCCCGTGTGCTGGGGTGGGTCCAGGTGCTGCTGCTTGGTCAAAGGCCCTTTCCTCACACAAGGTGTGTGTCCCTTGTGTCTCTCAGGAAGTGAAGATTCTGAGGAGCCAGCTGGGGGACAAGCTGCGGATCGAGCTGGACACGGAGCCCACCGTGGACCTGAGCCGCGTGCTGGGGGAGATGCGGGCCCAGTACGAGGCCATGGTGGAGACCAACCGCCAGGATGTGGAACAATGGTTCCAGGCCCAGGTGAGGGGGCTGCCAAGTGGAGGGGGATGCCGCTTTCATGTGGTGAGTATGCTGACCATGCCGTGTGACCACTGTGCTCCAGTCTGAAGGCATCAGCCTGCAGGCCATGTCCTGCTCGGAGGAGCTGCAGTGCTGCCAGTCCGAGATTCTGGAGCTGAAATGCACGGTGAATGCCCTAGAGGTGGAGCGCCAGGCCCAGCATACCCTGGTATGTATCCCCCATCCCTGTCCCTCCACTATGAACACTGTGGTGGCCTGGTGGTAATTTATTTTGGAGGTGTCGTTAACCATGTCCTCCTACCTGCAAAGTCACTGATTGTCAATATGTCTTTTTGTCTTTATTATCAAGAGCAAGTGAAACCCAAATATATACCTTAAAAAGTCAATTTCTCCTTTTAGTAAAATATATTTAAGAATAGGCCTTCAGTGCACAAAAATTGATTGAGTTCCAAATTTTTTGTTAGGTTGGCAATATAGGGCTGGATAATATGCAATTAACTAGGCTTTGGAGTACGTGCCTATTTGGACAAAACTTGCTCATAGTCAACTTGATGTATCGTAGTTCTAGGGTTTGAGTGCCTGGATTCTGCCCTGTGCTGGGTTTTCATACTGCAGCAGGTCTGGCCACTGTCATCAGCATTAAGTTTCAGTTCATGTAGCTGTTTCCCAGAGGCCTTGGGTGTTTCACCCCCTCATTTCCCTTCGCAGAAGGACTGTCTGCAGAACTCCCTGTGCGAGGCCGAGGCCCGCTATGGCAAAGAGCTGGCCCAGATGCAGAGTCTTATCAGCAACGTGGAGGAGCAGCTGGCTGAGATCCGGGCTGACCTGGAGCGGCAGAACCAGGAATATCAGGTGCTGCTGGATGTCAAGGCCCGGCTGGAGAATGAGATTGCCACGTACCGAAACCTTCTGGAGAGTGAGGACTGCAAGTATGTGGGATTGGTGTCATCCCTGGCCCAATCATTTACCCAGTTCTTGTGAGGTCGTCAGTGCAATGGAAGGCCTGTCTCTAGGTAGCACGAGGCTCTGTGTAGACGTTACCCTGTCCCACCTGTATACTCTGCGCGTTTGATAGAGTGAAGGGAATGACTATCCTTTAGAGGACATTTACCAGGTCACTGCTAGGACTGCTTGGAGTAACCATGGACTGATGAGAGTTAGAATTTGGCTGTTCCTTTAACAGGAGATGTGACTGTAGGTTTCTGCAGGTTTTTGGGCTCGCTTTTCCTTTCTTAAATTCTAGTAATTTCTATCCTATGGGTGGGAACTTGACTCTCATCTAGAACACGTTAATGATGGCAGCATTTTAGAGACCACTTAGTCCAACCCTAGTGGTGCATCTAGGACTCATGGCTATGACTTCCGCTGGGTCCATGTTCTGTTGTTTTGGAGTGGGAATCCCTTCCTCACACCCCAAATATCCCCGAGACCCCATTCATTTCCCCACCCCTAACTTATCTCTCCTTGTTCTCTCTCCACAGACTCCCCTGCAATCCGTGCTCCACCCCACCCTCCTGTGGGGCTCCCTCCTGTGTCCCCCGCACTACTTGTGGGCCTGGGTCAGCCTGTGGTGTCAGCACCGGGGTCCGATTCTGAACATCTGTGGACCCGCAGGGGCTGATGAAAGTTGGGGGTGTCCAAAGAGAAATGCCTGTAATACATTTAGAAAACCTGGCTTCTAACTATGACTGCCTTTCTGTATGCTAAGGCCTGTCCAAAGGCTGGAGTCACTGGGAATGGCGGAATCTTGATGGGAATCCTTCCCTCCCAGCTCCTGGTTTTTCCAGATGAGTTGACTGGACTCCACCTCCCCATGAGGGCTCGAAATATTTTACATTAGAGAGATTGAAGAGTGAGATTTAGATTGAAGAAGCATTTTGGGGTGGGAGTCGGGCATGGCTTAGAGTTGCATTTGTACTTCTAGGACACCAATTTTAACTTTAGATTTTCATAGTCTGTGTCGAGGGACATAAAGAAGAAACATCACTGTCTGGAATCCTCCACTTTCATTGGGTTGTTCCTAGCATCTCCAGGCCTGGATTATGGCCCCCTGGGAGAGGGAAACTGAGGGAAATAGAACCAGATTGTATACCTGACCAGACCCCTCTTCTTCCCTTCTCCCTTTCTCCTGGTTCAGTGGAAACTTCCCTGGTATCAATCCTGAGGTCTTTCTACTCAGGAGTCCTACCTTTCACCAAGGACCAGGCTTGCCTCTCCTAGGGCAACACAGCTTCCTCCAGATGGCTGATGTAGCTTCTTGCTGTGTGAAGGGGACTTTCAAATTAAGAAATCGCTGTTTATTCTCTAGAAATTCTGACTCTCAAGACTAGTCTGGCAAAAACCCTTCTCCCCATCTAATTTTATAGTAAAATTTGAACAATGACTTTAATTTCTTTTCTAGCACATTCTGAATCGAAACCTATTGATTCAATGGGTGGAGAGCTGCTGGGCATAATGATTGAAGGGTAATGGGAAAGATATCCTTACAATATTTTCAAAATGTTATACTTGTTTACTATGCTCCCACCTCATCTTTTCCCACTTTCTGGCTTCCTTACCATGATCCGCACACCAGCCACTTGACTTTTCTGTTCCTTGGATGCCGGGATACCTGTCCCTGCCCTTCCTCCTCTCTGGAGTGCTCTTTTCCATGCCACTGATGTTCCGGTCAGCGGAAAGGACCTTCCTCTGGGAGCTCCTGCTTGACCATTCAACTGAAGTACTCACACCCTCCAGCCCTCTGTCCTGTTCCTCGGCATCTCCCAACAGCTGAACTCGCTCGGTATCTTGGTATCCACTCGGAATCCATTGTTTCCCTGATTAAAGTGCTTACTCAGAATTACCAATTGTTCATCGCTGCATCCCCAGAGCCCAGCCCACTGCTTGGGTAGAGTAGATGTTCAATAAACATCTGTTGAAAGAACGAATGCTTCTGGTCCTGACTTTGTCTCTGACTTGCCGTGGAGCTTTAGAATAATCACTTTGCACGCCTAAGCTTCAGCATTTTTCTGCTATAAAATGGGTTTAGTGTTATCTCTCCTGCCTACACTTCAGATCTGTCATGAATTTTTTTTTCTGAGTCGGAATCTCACTGTGTCACCCAGGCTGGAGTGCAGTGGCACACTCACACTCACAGCCACCACAGCCTTGACTTGCTGAGCTCAGGTGATCCTTCTGCCTCAGCCTTCCAAGTAGCTGGAACTACAGGCACGAGCTACCATGCCCAGCTAATGTTTTGATTTATTGTGGAGATGAGGGCTCACCAAGTTGCCCAGGCTGGTCTTGAACCCCTGAGCTCAGGCAATCCTCTTGCCTCAGCCTCCCAAAGTGCTGGGATTAGTAAGTGAGATAACAGAAATGAAAATACTCTGAAACAGAGAAAGCACCAAAAAAAAAAAAAAAAAAAAAAAAAAAAATTCCTCGCCTGGAGCCAATATTGTATTAATGGTTAGAAATACAGGTGCTAAGCCACACTGGCTGGGCTCAAAGGCTCTCTTCCTCAAGGCAGCTAAAATCAATTTCCTTTAGCACTAAGTTCAATCAGGAACAAAATGGTCATATAAGAACTTGCTTCCCAGAGCAAATTGCATCTGAGCACTTGCTTTAGTTCCAGGAATGAGGAAGCTTTGCTTTGAAGGGCAGAGTCTTCTTACCAACTCCCTTATACAATAAAGTCCATCCAAGGAGAGGGGGCCCCATTTCTATAGTGGTTTTGTTTTCCCTCTGGGTTCACCAGGGTTAAAGTGATAGGAGGACATGCCTCAGGCCCAAGAGGCACTTGGTAATTTTAAGGGCCATCACGATCCCTGTAGAACTTTTTTGGAGACGCAGAGGGAAGGCAGATTCTGCCCACGTGTGGTTCTAGTTTCTGAATAGGTCCCCAGCTCATTGGAAAAACAGCTCATAATAGCCCTGCTGCTTGCCACAACTTGTAGCTTCATGGGAGAAAAAAGAACAAGGAGAAATAGAGAAGTGACACTGGCCACCAATGTCAGAGTAAAGGCTGGCATGGTACAAGCTAGTTTCAACTTCCTGGAGATGGAAAGATCTCTATTTGGGTGCTGAATGTGGGCCTGGTGATGAGGGGTGCCGTTCGAGAAGAACCTCTCGTGATAAAACCAAGTTGCTCTCTTGCCCGAAGTTGATTGATGGGACTGTGTGAGGGGGGGCGGGAACGGGAGCCTTTCAGCAGCTAGCTTGGTTTCTCTCATGGTCTGAGTTGGAAAGTTTCCTCTGTAGGGTTGACTCTTTCTGAGAAGACAAGCAAATGAACATAGGATCTGTTATGTTGGTGCCCACCTTTAGGATGCTGCTTTTCAGGGAAGAGCCTCCTGCCTCAGGCCAGCCTCAGTTTCCTGACTCTGAGCCTCATGGATTTCCTTTCTCACTATGAACAGCAGCATTTACACCATGTGGAGGCTGCTTTTGATTTCTTCCTCTTTGATTGTTAAACGTTTGAAAGTAACTGTAGAGTTTTAAAATGGAGTGTTATATAGCAGTGGTTTCCTCCCGCCTGGTAGTAGATGCTATCTCTTCCCTCCAAGAACAGAAGGCCATTCTGGAGCACTCCTGTAGGGCAGACATCACAGCTGCTTTCAGAAGATGAGTCATTGAAGCCCACAGAAGCTAAGTAGCTTGGTGGAGCCTAGACGTTTAGCAAGTGTTTGAATCGGAATTCGGACCTGACCACTCTGGCTGCAAGTCAATTGTCATTGTTTCGCATCACTTGAGGATTTCTTCTCTGTTCCTTTGAGAGGTTCTGAGCTACCTTTTACTTATTTATTTCTTTATTATCTTTAAATTCAGGGGTTAGTGCCCAGATTTGTTACATAGGTAGATTGCATAATGGTGAGGTTTGGGCTTCCAGTAAACCCATCACCCAAATAGTGAGCATGGTACCCAATAGGTGGTTTTTCAGCCTTGTCCCTCTCCCTTCCTCTCTTCCTCCTCTGGGAGCCCGGTGTCTGTTGTTCTTGTCTGTATGTCTCTGTACCCAGTGTTTAGCTCCTATTTATAAGTGAGAACATGCGGTATTTGGCTTCCTGTTTCTGCGTTAATTCATTCAGGGTTATGGCTTCCAGTTGCATCCACGCTGCTACATGATTTCACTCTTGTTTATGGTTGTGTAGTATTCCACGTCATATACTTGTACTTTTATTGCAGCACTATTCCCTGTGGCACAACCTAGGTGCTTATCAGTGGTGGACTGGATAAAGAAAATATGCTGCCTTTTGAAGGACATCTTACCGTGTGAGCCTCAGATGTCACATTTTTTCATACTCAGGGTCACAAGACACAGTGTGACTTGGAAAGGGGCTAGACTGTGATTTATTTGGCAAAAACCTTATAAAAGGACAGTTATAAGAGTCAGTTTCCTGAATCAGCTACTCTTCCCCGAGCACACTGCTGCCTGACTTGTCCTAATTGCTCCGACTATGTGGACCATGGGCCAACACCAGTATCTGAGATGTGGTGAAGAGTGACTCTCGAGGGGACAGTAGTTCATGAGCAGAGAAGAGCTCTTCCTAGTGATGTCAAACCAAATTAGCTGGCTCTGCTGTTTCTGGAGGTTGCCATTTGGTGGGAAGAAGCAAATGTGGGCTATATGGTGACCAGACAGTCAGTTTAAGGAATTCTATTCTTTTCATAAACGGACATGTATTAGATGCAGAATTAATGGTGATCTACATTTGAAAGTTCTGTAGGTTTTTTCTTTTCTCTCTCTTTTTCTTTTTGAGTTGGGTCTCACTCTGTTGTCCAGGCTGGAGTGCAGTGGCACACTCATGGCCACCCCAACGTCAACCTGCTGGGCTCCGGCAATCCTTCCGCCTCAGTCTTCCAAGTAGCCAGAACCACAGGCGCATGCTATTACACCCAGTTAATTTTTAAAAATTATTTATTATAGAGACAAGGTATCACCAAGTTGCCTGGACTGGTCTTGAACCCACGGGCTCAGGCAATCCACCTTGGCCTCCCAAAGTGCTGGGATTACAGCCTGAGACACCAAACCCAGCTGGCCTATTCTTATAAATATAGTCTTAAATGAAAACAAATCTTGCCTTAATTTTGACTTGATTTAGGATCACAAGACTAAGATGTCAAAGATTTCATGTCATTGATACAACACGCTGTGGTCTGTTATCATACTACATCTATTCATGCATGTATACATTCATTCATTCATTCAACACAGACTTACTGAGTGTCACCATGCACCAGATTCTCTGGAGGATAATATTGAGTACGATTTGCTTCATAGCTGAGCTCATGTAGCTATTTCTTTCATGTTTTTACTGAATGAATGCTTTGTCATGCCAGGTGCTGCACTGGGAATTACAGAAGTGAACAAGATGAAAGCCACAAGACAAATCCCTGCTTTAAGGGTATCCAAGTACATCGACAGCCAAGTACACTATGAAGAGGGCTATGTACAAGCTAAGCTAAGATTCAGTGTAAGTGGAGAAGAGAAACGAACCAAACACCCTCGTTAGATGGGGGAAGCGTCCCCTTGAAGGCAACTCTTGAGATGAGAAATACAAACTCTCAGGGATAGACTTGACCTTCAGAATGTTTCAGAATAAATGGGTAGTCAGTGC